ACCTAAATCATTTCATGCGTGTTTGCAAATTTTTTTTTTAAACGTTACTACTTGTTTCATTCTCGTCGTGTTTTCGAAATGATTAAAAATGGAATGTTCCCGTAACATTGACATAGCCATAAATGTTTTTTTTTTTTTTTAAAACATTTAAAAAAATTGGATGTTTTAAATGTTCTTTCATGACTGCATTCAGAAATAACATTTTGTAACTCAATGGAGAAGTATTTTTGTTAGCTGGGAAGCAAAATACCCAGAATGCTCTAGTAAATGTACACTCTAGTGTAGTGTATCCAGACCTTATAGACCTTATTTTTATTTGGCTTATTTATGAACCCTTTTTAAACTAATGAGGATCATATTGACAACTTTGCAACTTTGAGGTTTTACTGTATTTGAGAGGACCATTTCAGAAATTTGGCTCTCATAGTGAAGTACGCACAGCACAGCCCACCCTGGCACTTATATTGTCGGCTGGGAATTTATATAGTCGAATAAAATAGCAAGTAGATGTTCTGTTTTAGAAGGGCCTCCTCATACCTCATTTACATCGAGGTCCTTTTTATGAGTGTTTCGTAATTGCCGGTCCCATTCGCTGCTCCTGGAGCTCCATCTGCATCTGAAACAACATTGAGTCACTATGAATCACATTTTTTTTATATAGTTTTTTTCTACATTAAGGGTTTAAGTTATACCTAAACCAGCTGTGCATACTGCTTCTTTTAAAATGGGTTACCGTGCTAGGTGTGTTAAGATGATAGGCCTGTGGAGACATTGTGGGAGAAATGACTATATTCTGTGTGTTTAAGTTTGCATGTTTCAGGTCTAACTGTATATTCATAAATGGGTTATTTCTGTTATGAAGTACCTTTTGAATTTTAATGTTTGAGTTGTGCTATTAAAACATTTACCAGACTTTCAAAAATCTGCTTTGATCAGGCACTTTAACTCGATTCATTGAGAATGGAAAGAACATGCCTATTCTAAAGCGGTAATGTTGGTTAATAAAGTTAATAAAGAGCCAAACCTTGGCCTCTTAGTGAATTCCCATAAAAAATAATGTTATACTTCCTGTATTAATGTCACTGTGGACACTGTCTTTTTTTGGTTAAAGGAAGTTACTGTAAAAGAAAGCAAAATTATACTGAGGGTACAGGGGAAAAAAAATACAATTTAAAAATATATTCCCATTGCTTTTGAGAAATTTCAAGTGTAAAAGTAAAGAAACATGGAATATTTCTTAATAATCGGCGACAGTTTAATGTTAGATGTAACCAAAATGGCAAAACATCACTCATAATGTAAAACAAATTATGATTTCATCTTTATAATTTTGAGTTTAAAATTTGATCCAAAATATCAAGACATACACTACCATAAAAATGTTTGGGATCAGTAAGAAACTGATCTAAAGTGACAATATATATAACATTTATAATTTTTATATATATATATATTAAATGCTGGGGTTTTTCAACTGTCTTTCATCAAAATACAGAAAAATAAGTAACCTATTGTGGTTAAGAAGCCTATTGTGGTTTAAATGCTGGGGTAAAAAAAATTTTTTGTGGTTTTTCACATAAATATTAAGCAATTCAACTTGTATATATATTGTCGTTTTTCACATAAATATTAAGCAATTCAACTGTTTTCAGCATTGATACTAATGTTTTGTGAGCAGCAAATCAGCATTGCAGGAATAATTTTCATTTTAAAATATATTAAATTAGAAATATTATAATATTTCTAAATTTAACTTTTATTTTGGATCAAAGAAATGCAGCCTCGGTGAACGTCTTTCAAAAACATCTAAAAAACGCAATGACTAAACACATTAGTCATTGAAACAATTCAATTTCAAGCATGTGTTTAACTTAAAAGGATCTTGCACTAATGTCTTTGTTCATACAGCATGTTATTGCAGACATAGGATGATGATTTGAGATATAGCCGAAGGAGCTCCATCAAAATAAGTTGTGTTTCCTCATGATGGTGCTCAGTGTTCTGAATCAGTGTGCGTTCATGCAGTGACGGGTTACCCATTGAGCCTCACACTGATCCACAGATAAAGCACACAACAGGAGGTGTCGTGACAGATCTGCACACTGATAGCCCGAACTCGACGCCACGTCCCTCCTGTTTTGATATGGATGGAGCGGATCTGGATTCCGTACAATCAGTCAACCATCCTGCTATTCCTAAATGTGCAATGTTGTCAGGTCTAACTCACAGAAATCTGTACTTATTTCATCAATAATTGAACATGTTGATTTGCACTTTTTAGACAAGAAATGCTATGGATGTTACTTTACAGCCAGGCATGCTCTGATCTCCCACGTGAACTCTACTTTATGAGTGTGATTTAGTATCGAAATCTGGCAACCCAGAGTTGTGGGAACTTGAGACAGACACTAAATGTGTCATTTACTGGTGATTTGTATTCATAAAAGAGGTCATGTGTGGTGCATGAGGCCTGTGTAATGTTCAAGAGGTGGACAGGAAAGGAAAGAATCATTGCAAAACCCGGACTGTGCTGCCATCTAGTGGACACGATGAGATGCCACGTAGTCTTAACACACACAGAAGCCTGGGCTCCTCAATCTAATCTGTACGTAGACAGAATATTATGCAGTTGGGTGCATACGTTTTCACCCCCTTTGGAGATTCTGATATTTATCATGTAAAATATTTATAGGCCTATAGTTCAGGATTTTTTTTCCCCTATTAAGAGCCCCCTTGATTAAAAATTATTCCAGGCTCAATGCAAGTTAATCTCATTCACCATGCAGTATTATTATGACCCGCCTACCTTTTGTTATGATACAGCGGATGCTGGTCGGGCGGACCAAGTAATAAAAAAATAACATTCCATAAACGTATTATGCCTGTATATGCTTGGGATGACCATATGTAATTTATTGTGTGTGTTCGGGAAGTTGCAGTGCCTAAAAGAGCCACATTTTATGGTGGAAGGGGGCAAAGCCTGTGTTTAAGCTTAAATTAGTTTGCATTTTGTAGAAAAACTTTTACTTTAAAGCTGCAGTCCGTAACTTTTTTTGTGTGTTTAATAGACTGTAAAAAACAGGTTTAAACTGAACAAAATGTGTGTAATGAGAGAGTACAGCAGCATTATTTTCTTTGTGTATGCTGTCTGTGTAGTAGGCTAGATACACTAGGGAATCTTGTTCCCTAATGTAAAAAAGGAAGTAGGTGATTGCAATGTGTTTGTCAGTTCTGACTTTTTTCCTATCTCAATTCTGAGAAAAAAATATTTATGAGAAACTTGCAGGTGGTAGGCTACGGTTCTGAACTTGGTTAGCAAACCCTTTTGTGAATGTATATGTAGCATAGCCTGTTTTTATTATTCTGCTTTTTAAAAGTACTAAATTTGCACCCAACTTTTCATCTGTATGTATCAGTGGCCTGATACTAAGTAACAGTTAGCAAAACAAAAGTACAGTATGTTGTCCCAACTTGATCTTAAATTGTTTTTTAAATCGCGAGAACAGCTTTAGATCAGGCATATTACTGGGGTCCTAAGCTGGGACCATAGGGCTGGGACTCATCACTTAATATAATATGATCACTTCACCACACCCAAGGGGGTAATCCATCGACCGGAAGTTGAAGCCTCGCGGGAGCTGCCATCTTGTTGCAGAACTTCACTTGCGTTAGCATTCCCATTGACTCCCATTCATTTTGGCGTCACTTTGACAGCGAATAACTTTACATCTGAGGCGTTTGAAGACCCCATTTGTCCTTTATTTATTTCTAAAGAAACACGACAATGTATAAAATGCTCCATTACCTTGTAGCTTATGTTATGGCCCCGTAGAAGCAGTTTTAGTGAAAGTAGGCTAACGATTGTGTCATACCCCTCGACTCTCTGTCGCACAGTAGAGAGATTACCGTATGGACAGGAGAAGAAGCTCACACGCAATCGGGGAAACGTGGAGACAAAATGACAAAATAATTAATCAGAATACCTAGCAAAATTGTCTCCTGCTCCTATGGACAGCTCCTATTCACACTCTCCGCCTCTGCAAGTTTCAGAAGGGAATGATTCAGATTTCTCATGCCACAGCCACTAGAAGACAGACGGGTCACCCACGTCACATCTACGTAGTCGAGCTCTGTTTGAGTTTGCGCGTCAGGGACGGAAGTGCTAAAAAATCGCCAAAAACGGCTTCAATCGTCTCAATGGAGTTCCAATGAGATCGCTCTGTCAATTTGCTATACTGTCTATGCACCACACAGACGTTAGCATTAGCCGTTATGCTTTTTGGCTAAAGGTGGCATGCTTGTCATCTAGTAACTTTGGAGGAAACGAGGGGGGTGTTTATTGGGGGAATTGGAACACAGTATTTGTGTTCGGTTTGTTGCCAGTAGTATTTATTCTTCACAAGGCAGAATTTGGCACTACCCCTTTAAGAGGAACGCACTATTTTTTTCTGTGAAGTTTGAGCTAGGGATGGGAAAATGAAGCCTCGTGAATCATTTCCCCTGACTGTTCCGGGAAAAGACTCAAAGCTTTGCGAGTGTCAAGAACAGCGACATCTGGTGCTTATTTAAAATAAAGCAGCCTGAAGCTAGATAAAGCAACCACACACACTCCTTATAGTTTCAATGTTATGTGAACAAATACAAGCCTTCCACGTTTCTGTTTGATTGGTCCATTAAATAAATTCCTTTACCCATTAAAGTATGACAATAAAATATAAAATAGGCTTATATGATTCAATAAGATCTGCTATACTATCTCTATCTCTACACAAATATTTAATGTATTGATTAACTTTCAAAGTAGGCTCCTCACAAACTCATCAACCAGACTGTGCCAACAAGGACTCGTTAAGTAAGATCTGGGGTTCGAACCAGGATCGAACCTGCTGACAACCAAAGGGAAACGCGCACGTGATTGGACAGAAAGTGAGGCTTCATTTGTCATCAAACACATGACTCTGGGGCTTCAATAGAAATTGCGTTGCATTTGCGATACACACATAGAAGCTTCAGTGTCATACGTAACATCACTAGTTCGAGCACTTCCTTTTGCGAAAACACGTTTTTCATTTGCGTTATTTTATTATTTCCGGTAAAACAGTTGACAAGAAGTGACTGATACTAACTGGGCCAAGAAAGAGGTAATAATAAAACTGTATTTTCTAACGTTATAGGTTAAAAAAAATGAAAGATGTTTTTTCCCCCACACTCTACCTTTGTATAGAGTGTTTTGAGAATTGAGCAGCAGGTTTATAGTAGGGCAAATTAGTTTTTTATTTAAAATGTATTGAGTTTTTTATTTATTTAAAAAATGTATATAGTTCTTGTCAGAATGGTATGTTGCAGATAGTGAAATTTCTGAAACTTAAGAACCTCCTGGGACAGGAAATAGCGATTTTTTTTACTTTCATTTTCATTTCATTCTACAGTGAATTTTCCACTGGGTTTGAAAACACCAAAAAAAAAAAAAAAAAAATACAAAAAAAAAAAAAAAAAATGGCAGAATCTCTCTTTGATGCTCAAAATCCTTTAAACTGTCCGGTCTGTCTGAATCTGCTTAAGAACCCAGTGACTACATCTTGTGGGCACAGTTTCTGCATGGACTGTATTAAGAGATGCTGGGACCAGGAGGTTCATAGAGGCGTTTACAGCTGCCCTACATGCAGGACAACATTCAACCAAAGACCAGCTCTCAGCAGAAACACTGTACTGGCTGATATTTTAGAGGGAATGAAGCAGAAAGATCCAGCTAGACCTGGAGATGTGACGTGTGATGTTTGTAAAGGAAGAAAAGTAAAAGCCATCAAGTCTTGTTTGTTTTGTATGGCTTCTTACTGCCAAACTCACATCCAACCTCATTATGAATCTGAAGCTTTTAAAAAGCACAAGCTGGTCAAAGCTTCCCCAAATCTACAGCAGCAGATCTGCCCTCAACATCATAAAGCACTGGAGCTTTACTGCTACAATGACCAGAAGTGTATTTGTGTAGTTTGTATGGGAAATCAGCACAGTGGACATAAAACAGTCTCGGCTGCCGCTGAAATGGCAAAAAAACAGGTACAGTAAGATGTTTTTGTCTCTCTCTCTCTCTCTCTCTCTCTCTCTCTCTCTCTCTCTCTCTCTCTCTCTATATATATATATATATATATGTATATATACATATACAAATAAACGTATGTATGTATTTGTGTGTGTGTATACATCATGTGCAAAACAAAAACTGCAGATTCATGTACAAATATAAATAAACAAAAGGAACCGGATTCTTAATGATTGTTAATTTATCCTCAGGAGAACCTAAAAAAAACCAGGAGGGATTTCATTCAGCACACCACTGACATAGAGAAGGAGATTGAGCAGTCTCTGAAAAATGTGGACATTTATAAGGTGATGGTAATTTGCATAAGTATGTACACTGCACAGTTATGTTTGTGGATATTATTAAATGGCAATGAATGGCTTCCCTTATAGTTTACTCTGCATACTGTATATGATCTGTCATGTCAATGTGTCAGAAGCTTGACCAGGTGTTGTGTGTGCTGTGACAGCGCTCTGCACAGGCAGCAGTGGAGAACAGTGACCGAATCTTCACCGAGATCATTCGCTCCATTCAGAAAACACGAGTCGAGGTGAGAGAGGAGATCAGAGCTCAGGAGAACAATGAAGTACAAGATGCTGAGAATCACATAATGAGACTGCGGCAGGAGATTGTTAAACTACATAAGGAGAATAGTAAAGTGGAGACACTTTTACATACAGAGGATCACGTTTATTTCTTCCAGGTAAAGAAAATATACAACCCGAATTCCAGAAAAGTTGGGACGTTTTTTAAATTTGAATAAAATGAAAACTATACGACTTTCAAATCACATGAGCAAATATTTTATTCACAATAGAACATATATAATATAACAAATGTTTAAATGGAGAAATTTTACACTTTAGTCCACTAAATGAGCTCATTTCAAATTTGATGCCTGCTACAGGTCTCAAAATAGTTGGGACGGGGACAACAAATGGTTGAAAAAGCAAGAAATTTAGAAAGGATTCAGGTGGGAGAACATCTATAGCAACTAATTAAGTTGATATCAGGTCTGTAACATGATTAAAGGGATGTCTTAGAGAGGTAGAGTCTCTCAGAAGTAAAGATGGGCAGAGGCTCTCCAATCTGTGAAAGAGTGCGTAAAAAGATTGTGGAACACTTTAAAAACAGTGTTCCTCAACATCAAATTGCAAAGGCTTTGCAAATCTCATCATCTACAGTGCACAACATCATCAAAAGATTCAGAGAAACTGGAGAAATCTCTGTGCGTAAGGGACAAAGGCGAAGACCTTTATTGGATGCCCGTGGTCTTCGGGCCCTCAGACTACACTGCATCACTCATCGGCATGATTGTGTGAATGATATTACTAAATAGGCCCAGGAATACTTCCAGAAACCACTGTCGGTAAACACAATCCGCCGTGCCATCTCCAGATGCCAACTAAAGCTCTATCATGCAAAAAGGAAGCCATATGTGAACATGGTCCAGAAGCGCCGTCGTGTCCTGTGGGCCAAGGCTCATTTAAAATGGACTATTTCAAAGTGGAAAAGTATTCTATGGTCAAACGAGTCCAAATTTGACATTTTTGTTGGAAATCACGGACGCCGTGTCCTCCGGACAAAAGAAGAGGGAGACCTTCCATCGTGTTATCAGCGTTCAGTTCAAAAGCCAGCATCTCTGATGGTATGGGGGTGCATAAGTGCATACGGTATGGGCAGCTTGCATGTTTTGGGAGGCACTATGAATGCTGAAAGCTATATAAAGGTTTTAGAGCAACATATGCTCCCCTCCAGACAACGTCTATTTCAGGGAAGGCCTTGTGTATTTCAGCAGGACAATGCAAAACCACATACTGCAGATATTACAACAGCATGGCTTCGTCGTAGAAGAGTCCGGGTTCTGAATTGGCCTTGCCTGCAGTCCAGATCTTTCACCTATAGAGAACATTTGGCGCATCATTAAACGAAAAATGCGTCAAAGGCGACCACGAACACTTCAGCAGCTGGAAACCTATATAAGGCAAGAATGGGACCAAATTCCAACACCAAAACTCCAGACACTCATAAACTCGATGCCCAGACGTCTTCATACTGTTTTGAAAAGAAGAGGAGATGTTGCACCATGGTAAACGTGTCCCCGTCCCAACTATTTTGAGACATGTAGCAGGCATCAAATTTGAAATGAGCTCATTTAGTGGATAAAAGTGTACAATTTCTCCGTTTAAACATTTGTTATGTTATCTATGTTCTATTGTGAATAAAATATTGGCTCATGTGATTTGAAAGTCGTATAGTTTTAATTTTATTCAAATTTAAAAAACGTCCCAACTTTTCTGGAATTCGGGTTGTAGTATTTTGAATGAAATAGTGGCTGTTTTTGATTCAGTGTTGATTCTTATTTTTAAAGGTATTGTAGGTAAACTTTTTTCCAAATTTGTTTAAAGTCCCTGTAAAGTCAAAATTTAGTATGTTCTGAGTTTGTCACACCACAGAAAAATGTGTTATTAGCCACCCAGCCAAATTTGAATGATAAAAAAAGCCGGCAAGTACATAAAATAAGCTATCAAAATCTTGATAAAATGAGCTGATTCTCTGCTCAAACCGCTGGCTGCGCTGAAACCACGGCCACTCGCGGGAACGCTGTCGACGGTGATGGTGCTTTTGGAGACGGGAGGAGGAAGGCTGTGGCGGGAGATAGTCGTTTCGGCCCCGTTCACCAGTAACAGCGGATTATCAGTGAATCCCAGTTGTCTCTGAGGAAAGTTCAAAACGATCCCGTGTAAAACGATCACTACAGAGGCGGGTGTTGGCGGTCATCCTCAGCTCTTCATCAAGGTTGGCTCTCTAAAAACCTCTTCTTGATGTGTTTTTAGGGAATTTATATGAAGATACCGATCTGTTTTGTTCATGATCGCATCCAGGTAGTAACCTATGCATTTCTAGCTAGCAAACTGTAGGCTGTAGTAACTAATACTACTGACAGTCACTCGCGATTGAGCAGTGAATGTGCTCAGCCTCAGTGCGTCATCAAATAGAGGCTTGTCCAGGAGCTCATGGGCTCCAGTGCGTCATCGCGCCCTGTTTTAGCCCCGCCCAAACAATCCGTAAAATTGCAATGGTGAAAAACTGTTTAACGGTCTAACTCCACATTTCAGTACTTCACAGCTCACAGTCTTTGTAATATGTTTTAGCAATACATATTATAATGTGTTAAGAACTTTTTTGTAGAATTGCCTTTACAGGGACTTTAAACTTTCTATATATATCAATGCATAATTAAAATGTAAGTACTCTGATAAAAAGAGTATAAAAATCGAGTGACTCTAGACCGTTTCATCTGCACTAAACACATCTCATTATTTCCAACTGAGACGAAACAAAGGATTGGCTTAGGCGACTGTCACTCTCTCGCAACCACCCTTTTGCCACACAGGACCTGCCCACTTGCACGTATCCAGATCATATATACCTGTTCACATGCCCTGGTTTGAGCTTGAAGATGCAAAACTCAACGCAGGTCCTCTTGTCCAAGAAGTGCTCCTTGCCCTGCACTTCGACCACCCTCTTGCACGACCTCCTCTGCTTCGCCCTCGACCCTGGATCTGTCCTCGACAGTGTTGTGCAAGTTACTTCCAAACTGTAATACATTAGGTATTACTTGTTACTGTTATTTAAAAGTAATTCATTACCTTACAATATTACTGTCTCAGAATTGTAATGCGTTACATTACTCATGTATTACTTTTGAGTTACTTTCACCAAAATAACTAAGTAGAACTTAACTTTTGGGCTGTAACGATATGCAATATGAAACCGAAATCGCGATTCGCCACACGACTGAGATCCACGAACGTACAGAATCGCGACACACCTCTTCCAACTCCAGCGTTATTCTCCATACCGTCCAGATCCAATGCTGCCTTATCTTTAAATTAGGCTATTAGTATTATTTGAAGTTAACATTATAAAATACGTAGACCTACACCACAAAACTAGTTGAGGATAAATTATTTAAAATTTTATTCAATTACATTTGCAGTCAAAACTTGAAATAAAAATTCTCAGAAAATACATGTATTGAAACATATATAGGCTACTTCCTTAAAGGACTCCAGACATTAGACAAATATCAGTCTATGTTTTATTTTCAATATTAGGGAAAAGACACACATTCATGCGTGACAAAAAAATAGGAGGCAAAATATATTTTTTGTAATTCTGTTAATTACACTGCGTAAATCGGACGAGGAAGGGTTGGCTCTCCAGTCTCCATAGAACTTAAAATATTCATTTTATTTTAGTTTTCGTGTTCGCATTTATGAAGAAAAAACAATGTTACAGACGCGACCGCTCTGAACTGGCACTAAAAGACTGCTTTAAAACTTTCACATAGTCTGTTGCCTTTAAGAAGTAAAAGCAGACAATACACTGTAATACAACTGTAATACAAGCCTCACTGAACATGTAACGAGTAAAATATTACTGAAAATTGATTAGTAATGCCTTACACTACTGTGTTACAGCAAAAAGTAATATGTTACTGTAATGTATTACTTTTGTAATGCGTTACTCCCAACACTGGTCCTCGAGCTGACGATGTGGTACTTGTCTCGGGAGTGTAGTCCTCATCAGAGACAACAATGCTTTCATCATGGAAACTCTTACATGCAGTCAGAACACCATAAATGTTATGAATCTTACACGAAATTTATCTTAATCACAGTGTAAATGATGGCAATGGAAAAACGTGTATCATGCAACCTGTTTTTAGCTTTGCTTTATAGATAACTAGCTCGTTAGCAAATCAATAAATCTATATTTTAAACTTTGCCAATATCAATATGCTAGCTTGATAGTGAGTACTAAAATACATCTTATTTGTTAATCTTCATAATGATAAAATTAGATTTTTTTATTACATGTGATTCTGACATGATGTCTCTGTACTGCGCTCCGTCCTCTCCGCTCGTCTCAGGTAAATAACACGTCTTCAGCTCAGCGGTCGGAGTCGCTCATTCATGTGTTTTGGGGGCGTGGCTTTGGAAGGAGCCTAGAAGGGAGGGGGTGGAGTGAATGGAAATAATGAGCTGTCTTTAAAACAGTCGTGAGAGGTCTACAGACACTCGATTTTTATACTTTCTTTTTCAAAGTACTTGCATTTTAATTATGCATTGATATATACAGAATGTTTAAACACATTTTTTTTATATAAAATTCCTACCTATAATACCATTAAAGTTATTGTTTTTCTTCCAATTGCAGAATCATGATTCCTGTTCTAAGCTCAATCAGCGCACAGTCTCACCCCGGGAGATTAATGACGTCCTGACATTTCAGATTGTAGAGAAATCTGTATCCCGCCTGAAGATACAACTGGACAAACTCTGTCAAGAGCACATGGGCAGAATATCACTGAAGGGTGAGATAGCAACGTCAAGATCTATTCTGCTTTTTAAAAGTACTAAATTTGCTTCATCTGTATCAAATCTGAGTGTCCTGATACAATGTATTACAATAAGCAACCAAAAGTACAAGTGCAGTGTGTTCTCTCAACTTAAAGGGATAATTCAGGATTTAGCATTAAGCTTTGTATTAGTAGAAAACCTGTAGTATTTTCGAATTACCATGCTTTCCACCCTCATATCCCCCTGAGATGAGAGATTTATGTATTTTCTGTCTGGAAAAAATCCTCAGATGAGGCAAAAATCGTCATTTTGCAACATCAGAGGATTTTTTGGCCGGAGGCTAAAGACTTCAGTCAGTAGTAGGGTCTGTCCCGCGTGTTCTCAACTCGCCCATAGAGGGAGGATCTCACTCGCAGAATGAACACATAGTGTCAGACATCTTTTTTTGGAAGCTAAGCTAGCAGGCTCTTGTTCTGTGGAGAAAGCTGAGTAGTAGGGGTTACCATCCAGCCGTCGATGTCCGTGAGAGATACGAGACCGGTGCGTCTCACAGGTGTCGCTCATCGTTAATCACGCCACCGGCCTCGCGCCGTTCTCCCGCGGCCCTCACTCGTCCCGCTCGCCACAGTAAACATGATGAATGGCGACTGTAGAACGCAAAAGCCGAATCCCGGACATTTTGGGCGATCTCGAAACACATTTTCGGGCAGACTCATCGCGGAGACTCACTAGTAGCCTAGACTTGTTGTTTAACTACTGCGCTCTGTTACCGGTAGGCGTGGCCTCCTAGGGCAGCGAAGCAAGTGCATTCTGGGAGTTGTTGTCTTTCATCCACATAAGCAAAAATACATTTTCTGGCTTTTCTCAGTCTAGAAAGCTCCAAATTCAAAAATAATTTCACATTTCTTCTACATCAGTTACCCGTTTTAAATACACATTCATCTTTCCAGAGGTGAAGTATCCCTTTAACCTATAAATAAATCTATCTAATGGAATAGTTTGAGATGAAGGGCTTATTAGCAGCTAAATTCACCACAACATTGGAGACAGACGTCCTGTTATGAAGATATAAATGGGAGAAATCACATTGCTGTGGGAACGTTGACTGAAAACTGTTCCTCAAATGTTGTAAAACATTGTCCTGCATCTGTCTGATTTCCACATAAGTGAATATTGTATATCTGTCTTCATAGTTGCTGATGTCCACATGTTTAAAAACAGTAAGTACACTTTTCTATTAGAAAATAAACACACATTTTTTGACTTAGTATCATTCTGTTTCTGCAACCAATACTTATCAAGGAATTCAAAGATGCTCACATTATACTTATCAAATAACTGTCATGTTTGAGTTCTTCACTCACTGAAACTTGCATGTTTTTTTTTATTTTTATCAAGATTGCGATTGGGTGCTGGAGGTGGTTCCTGGGTTAGTAAATTATTTTTTTTAAGGGATTGCAGTGGTTGAGAAATGTATTAATCATAGATATTTCCTGTCATCATGTATTATCAGTTACGGTAGAGCTTGTCTAATACTTGTCCACTATAACACACAGCCTTAGTTGTGTTAATGCTTTAATAAAACGGCAATAAGAGGAAAGACAAAAATAATAAATAAATAATGTTTTAATAATAACAATAATAAATTCTTCCACCAAGTAATGTAGTTCAGTAGCATAATTGCATGCTGAAAATTTGTACATTCATATAATATTACATTGTTTTGTGGTTATGTCTTTGTTTTTAATTAACCCTTGAGCGTGAAATATCTTATTTTACAGCCTGTCAGCTTTTAGTGTTTTTTTTATTTATTTATCAGTAATCACATCTGTGTATATTTTCTGTAGTTGATTTAGCAACTACTATTTTCTATGTAAAAATGAATTTAAAAAAAATATGATTGTTTGAATATGACCTTGTAACAATATGATCTTGATTGCAGTGGGGAGGATTCGGAACTGGATTCAGATTCAGATTCAGATTCAGATTAAGAATGGGAAGGATAGACTGCATCGACCAAAGGACATTGTTGCTAAATGGGTAGATTACATTACATTAGCATGATACTTAAATGGCCATAAAACTATTGCTCAGTTACTTGGTAAACCTAATTATGAAAAACATTTGAACAGAACAATGGATTTTTTTTGGAATGGCTCATTGACCTAATGGGCTCTATGTATGGCGGTATTTCCGGTGAAGCATTAGGGATGCTCGATAACTTCCGCCGATCGTAGAGTCTAATGCAATACCGAGAATGTATATTGAATTTATACTCCATGGCTATACTAAAGAAATGTTAGTCACAAAAACAGATAAAACAGACACCCCTCGTTGTGTTTATGCTTCTTTTTAAAATTATATTAAATAAACATAACTATATATAAAATTACATCTAAACGTATATACGTTTCGTTTCAAAGACGGGAGGACAGTAAATTTTGAAGACTCTGCCATAATCCCGTTTTCCTCGGTTTTCCTCCGCTTTAATCTACACAACCGGAAACTGTTGAGCATCCTTGCTTCAAATGCAGAATTTATGCGTGCATATAGCCCATTAACCTGTATGTTTGGAGGTGCCTTACAAAATATGGTCAAATTCCAGCACTAGGTGGTGCTATAACAGAAATGTTCACATAATTCTGCAACCATTTAATGATGGGACCTGAAATCCAGCTTGCTGTTTCTTTGTTATACATGTGTTAACACAAACTTATTTGTCCAGAGATCATCTGTACAAATCAACAAAAAATGTAAACTGTTAGGCTATTTCAATAAGTAGATAATATTGTTATTATAATTATATTTAAGTTGAGTACAACAGAAATTTTGTTTTTTTTTGTCCTCTAATTTTGTAAAAAAAAAATCAGCCATAATGTGATGCTATAATAAAGGAATGTAAATATTTTTTTTACTTAGGAAATATTGGAAAAAAAAATATATGTCACATAATTTCCATCTTTGCCTTTGTAAAATAAAAATATCTCAGTAAAAATCAGACTGTTTAGCTGTTTTTTTCTTGCATATTTACGTAACTTTATAGAGCCTTCAGCATCTGAAGTTTGTACTCTTTTAGTGTTTATCAGACTTACCTGAGCAGATAACTGATAAAGAGAAGAAATCCTGATGGAACGAGCCATGGAGAAAATGCACCAATCAAAACACTGAAGAAATCTTGGAAAAGATGTGCTGTCATCCTAACATTCTCATATCGTTCCAAACTTGTATGACTTGAACTCTTCTGTTGAATTGAGCTGATATTCTGAACTTAGACTTCATCGACTTTCACTTTTTTTACACTACAAAAAGTTGCAACTTGGATGTTTAAGTCATTTCAACTTAAATTACATTAAACTAACTTAAAAAACGAGGTAATCAGTCAGCTAAATGTGCATCACAATTCATTGCTCAATTCAAAACATGTTCTTTGTGATAATGAAGGTGTTTGATATTGTTTTTAATATATATTAAAAAAAATCCAGAAAAACAAACAAACACAAAGGGGGTCAAACATTTATTTGGCCTAATCGTACAACATCTTATTAACACTTGGAAATGTTAGCAAAATAAAGAGTCAGAAAATGTATGTACAGAGACTAAACAGAACAAAAATATATATTTGATAAAAGCAGTGGTTTAATTCCCCTTTGTCGTAAACTTTGAAATGTGTAGCTAGATCTGATTAAAACATCATTAAAAACAGACTAAGACTAAAACCTATATTCACTCGCCCAGGTCTTCTGACACCCTACAGTTTTCAGGGCTAAAAATTGGAATGTAGAGCTATTGAAACACTTCTTAAAAAGATTTTTTTTTGTTTTGTTTTGTGTTTTTGTAGTTTTACATTGTCCTTTAACCAACTCCTAAGAGGACAATTCGTCATTTCACTCATCAGCCCTGAAGAATCAAGGATCGGATGAAATTTAAAAGAGAAAAATGACTGAAAAGTTTGTGAACAGGGAGCCACGCTCTTCCATCCGAGGCGGAAAATCCATCAGTCATCCCTCCATACACAGAGCATTACAGGCCCGATTCCCAACAACGCTCTTGACGTGCGGCACCATGGACTGACACGGGTCAGGATTGGAACACACCACTGAATAGTGACTGTTATCAGCAAAGGTGGTAAAAGAACTTGGATTCTCTGTAGTATTGCTGTAACTGTAAGACTGTGGCTCAAGTCTCATATATTTATATATATTTATATATATATTTCAATCTCAAAAAGAAAAAAAAAGGATAAAAATAAACAGTCTAGGTTGCCACAGTGAAGTGAGGTCACTCTGTAGCCGGCTCCGGGTCCGAAGTTGTGGTGGGCGTGGTCTCTTCAGCAGGGGCGGGGCTATCGTCAGATTTTGTAGCCTCCTCTGTGGGCGCGGCTTGTGTTTCCTGGGCGGGCTCTTCTGCTTTAGGCTCCTCCTCCGCTTTAGGCTCCGCTTCTGGCTTTGGCTCCGCCTCCACCTCAGGTGCCGTTGTCTCATTGGTCACCGCCTCCGCTGGCTCCTCCTCTTTGATCTCCGTAGCAGCCTGGCCGTTCTCCTCAGGTTTGTCTTCGGTTGTGGGCGTGGCCGCGGTGGCGGTCGCGGTCTCTGCTGCCTCCTCGCTTCCCTTTTTGTTCTTTTTCAGGGAAATGCCTTTGAATTTGAAGGAGTTCTTCAGTGAGAATTTCTTCTTCTTCTTGGTTTCCTTCGCAGCTTCCCCGTCGGATTTGGTGGCGTCTCCCTCGGTGGCAGGCGCGGCTTCAATGCCGTCTCCCGCCTCCGTTTTTTCGACCTCCCCCTCCTTGGAAACTTCCGCGGTTCCGTTTCCGTCTGCGGCCACGGCTTCTCCATCTGGCTTGGTGGAAACGTCGCCGTTGGTTTTCACATGGCCATTTTCCTGAAGAGATAAGCAGAAACATGGTAGATAAGCCCAATGCACCTTGGCAAACACACAGAGAGAGACACTCACAGAGACAGAACAAAACAAAGGGGTTATGCTGGCAAATGCTTGTTTTTATAGTTAAAATAAATTTTAAATGCTTGCTTTATGTTATAGTTTATAGCACAATCCTTTTCAAGCATTAAATTTAACCTTGTGATACCACTCCTTTTTGTTTTGATCCAATACGTTCAAAGCATAGCTCTTAGTGTTTATAACATATGGGTATATATATATATATATATATATATATATATATATATATATATACACACACTAGTTTTAAACACTTATTTTAGTATTTAAACACTTCTAATTCACATAGAATGAGACCTCGCAATACAACAATATCAGAAGAATTGAGATTTCAAGATCAATCTGCCATCACAAACCCCTAAGATACCTCAAATAGATGAATTTGATGTTTTTGAATACCTAGAAAATACTATTTTTCTGGCTGTAAATAATGTGAGGACTGCTGTGTTGCATTAAAAACCGAAGCAACACCCAGTTTAACCCAAAAGCAGAAGTATATCGTGTAATTACAGACTGCGTGCACTAGGGGTAGTGTTGTTCCACTAAACATCATCCACAGCTCAGAAAACCAGCCACTGCCAGACAGAACAAAGAAAAGGGAGACAACAACCTAAGATGGCATTTAAAACAATATCTGGCTCTAAAACATCTCCTTTTTTCTTGCATTTACTAGAAATCGGACAGCTAGCCATTCAGGTGATGTATCAACCGAGCACTATAGCCCTGAGATATGCTCACTGTCTCGTTTCAAGGATTGGGATCTTTAAATCACATGCATGTGAAATAATACATTTAGTTAATAAATTAAAGATTGAGTTCTCGCATTACATATGGAGGGGGAAGGGTGCATATGCATTAAGGGGGATGGGTAGAACGAGTATTAATGAAGTACCAGAGGAATGGTCCATGCATTCAGACACACACACATGCATTGCATTGTTTGCAGATCAGCAGAAGCGCTCTGCATCATTTGCATGCAGCTCTGCAACCTTTTGTTCTCAATTCGGGTTTCTGCCAGTTTCAGCGCCACACGACCACAGAGCCTGCCTGATAACTAAAGCAACTAAAATATGGGCTAAGCAAAAACAATCCTTAAAAACAAATCAAGAAGAGAGAGAGTTTAAAATACAGATTTTCTACCCTAAACTTACAAAAGCCATCGAGACAAAATCTTCTTTCAGAACTGAGATGACAGCTTATTGTTGCCATAACCAATTGGATTATTAAAAAATGTACCACAAATTCCAATATTAATTTGTTCAAAACTAATTGTTAGATAAATTGGATCAATGAAAGGGACAAAATCATTGATAAGATGCCGTTCAAATGCTCCGAAAGCTGTTAGTTCAGTCATAAAAGTGCTTGGAGTTGATCCTCACCTGACCATTGGCTTTATCAGCCACGGCTTTTCCGTCCACTGTAGCTTCACCTTTAGTCAACTGAGCACCCATCCTCCTTTGTGTCTTCTTCAAAGAGATAAAAATGAAATTATAGGCAGAAAAAAACCCTGAAGGTCCTGAAATTCAAACCCACACAGTAGAGACGGCGAGCGAGCGCTTAGATTCCTGGTGTGTGTTTTAAACTGCTGTGCTCAGCAGACAGAAGTACAGGCGGCTTTCTGGTAGTAAATCCACACGGCTCTGCGGGGAGAGCAAACTAAGAGTTTCACAGCTACAAGTGTGAGTATTTGTCTGTGTGACTCCACCCAGAAGCTACGCTGCCCAATCTGCACCAGAGGGCTGGAGCTTCATCTGCCTCATTCAAACACAGTCCTGTAGACAGCTGGAGCTTCAGCTTTACTCCACCGTTGTTATTAGCAGCTTTACAGGGCAATTTATAATTATTTGAACATCATTATTTGTCTAAAAGATAATGACAAGCTTTTAAAAATGTAAATTCACAGTATTAAATGAAGCGAGCAATTTCATTACTTTGGTTTAATCAGATTGCTGCATTAACTTACATGAAAAATTGGCAATTTATTAATATTGTAGATTCTTTAGTTTAAGTTTATTAAACTAAATTTGATTTTTTTTATCATTTTGTTTTAATCTTAAATGAATTTAACAGTTTTTCCTTTCTTTATATCATATTTTCATAGAAAAGCCTGTCCTGTGATGACATCGCCGTACAGGAAGTGACGTCATTTTGGAGGGAAAACATCAGCACTAACATAAGTGAGTATTAGCAATGGAATGAATGGATTCTGTGATGTTGTCTTAGTTAGTTGGTTTGCAAAAACACTTCATCCTGTAAAATGAAAGTACATTTGGTTTAATAATATCAGCATTTCAAAAGATAGTTGATCTCTCAGTCCCTCATGGCTAATGTTTGCTCTTCCGTTCTGTTCCTTTTATTTTCTTGCCGTTGTGTGAATAATCAAGCTACTGTAGTTTGACCAGTATACTTTATACTTTTATAGAAATTCTTTTTGAAAGCATATCAGGAGTGTGAGCCATCTATTTTTTTATGGTTTATTCATTCACACCTCCACTTAGGGCCCTTATTTGTGTGATATTATTATGACCTTACACGTGTGATTTTAGAAACCCTTTCCAGTGATTACTATAGATAAGTGCATGACAGCTTTTGTTTTTACTGATGGTCAGTATAACAGATTACATTTGAGAATCATGTTTCCAACAAAATGAGCGAAGCCACAAACATTTTGCATTTGAAGCATATGTAAATAGGAATAAAACAGCAAACTGCCACTACTGTATTATATTTGATACGCAAAGACCTCTAAATTATCAACATGATCTAAACATGAAAAACCGGTTGCACACAATCATGCCTTCTGTGTCTGATTGATACTTGATACTTTTTTAGCAAGTAAAAGGCCTTTTTGTCTAATTCTAGAAATTATTTTTGCTTTTGTGAAATTTTTAATGAAGCATATGTGAGAATAATTTTTTATATAATCAGATTCAGAAAGAGCTTTATTGCCAATATGCTTAAACATATAAGGAATTTAAATAAAAGTGATTAAAAATAAATATATACAAAATACACAATATATTAGTAATATATCAATATACTAATATTTCAAGATGAACATTTACTGGACTGAAGCAACTTGATTATCATTTTTTTAAATATTATGTTGTTAAAATGTATCAAAAATGATCCATCAGGCTTTAAAAGATTGTTTATTCATTTATCTCTCAGTCATCATTGTATTGCATTGTATGTTTTGCCCCCCAAAATAAAAACTACAGAGATTTGATAATAAAAATAAGCATTCATTTTTAAGTAAGTTTTAAGTAAGTTTAAGTTGTATAAGCAAATAACATCTTAATGATATAAATGGGAGATATGACAACTGATACTTGCGTGCATTTTATGTAGGTAGTCTGCTAAACTCTTAAAGATAATAAATAAAGATCTCATTGATTTACATTACAAGCAATCAGAATTTAATCTTACTTTTAGTCCATAAATATCAGAAACTACATCAGAAAATATACAAATTTTATATACATCAAAAAATATACAAATTTTTGCTCAATTTATGCTTCCTAAAGAGTGAGCTCTATACTGTCACTATATAAGCAGATATATCAAATATGACACCCAAGTACTGTACTTCTACTGTAAATGCTTTATTATGCATGCACTTTTTTTTGTCTGAGGGAAACAAAATAATTTTCTGCACTAATTGATATTGTGGCCCAAACGCTGCAGTCAGTGTGAACCCAACGCCACATGGTTTTGATGCCCCACCCGCCGCAGTGATGATGTCACTCAGCGCCCCTGACCCCCCGCCTCCGGTATGTGTGGAATGTGTTCGCCACCCAAAGATCCCTGCTGTCATTCAGCACAACACCGTCTGCATGCAGGGAGATGAGCCCCCGGGGCTGCTGGGTAATTCACCCCCACGTCCTGATGGGTCGACAGGGAAACTGAGGGGGTGGAGGAGGAACAAAATCCTCAAGAAAGAGCAGCGTGTTTCTGAAAATTACATGGAAAGGTTGTAGAAAAAAACTTGAACTTACATGGAACATATAAATGCAATGACTTTTGGGCGTTGAGAAATTTGACCCATCTAGTCACAGTGAGACAATGAGAAGGAAGTTCGAAATATACACTTCTGTTCAAAAGTTTGTGATAGTAGTGATAGATTTATTTCTGGCTGAACTAATACAGTTTTTAACTAAATCTATTCTTTAATTTCATGGCGAATGTGGACAGATTCTTCCCACTCAAGCATGACTACAAGAAGCTCTCTCTCTCTCTCTCTCTGTGTGTGTGTGTGTGTGTGTGTGTGTGGACTTTTCTTAAGAAAAGAGTTGGAATTAGAATAGATGGATGGAGGGGGAGGGACAGACACTTTAGAGAGAGAAATGGAGTGTGTGTGTGTCCACAAAGATGGCGATATCCCAAATCCGCTTATAAATTAGATGGTGTTTTTTGAAAATGTATAATTGCAGAAAGTTTGCTGTGATGGTTAGGTTTAGGGGCTAGAAGAGACAGTTTGTATAGTATAAAAACATGTCTATGGAAAGTCCTCATATAACATGGAAACCTAGTGTGTGTGTGTGCGGTGTGAGAGAGCAAGAGAGAGAAACAGCTGTAGTATAGATGTGTGTGTGTTAGTGGGTCAGTGTGCCAACTGCACATCTACTCTCTATCACAAACACTTCACTTAAATTCTTTAAGTAATATGCAAAGGGATCCAAAAGACTGTCAAAATATTTTAAGCACATTTTGACATGGGTTGTTTTACACCTGATGGCCAATCTTCTCTGATTGCGCAGTCCATAAGAGCAGTGTGTGAAGGTTCAATTAGCGGAGCAATAGAGAGCCTAAGTCCCGCCCCTACGCTTCCAGCTCATGGGACCTTATTTCGGAAAAAATATGAATGGTAGTCAATGGCGAGAGACAACTTATGTTTTTATTCCGTCTGAACTGTGCCCTCAATTACACATATGATGTTTGTCAATTTAAAAGATAATTCTGAAAGTCAAAAACGTCGCAGTTTGTCATACAACAGAAGAGTAACATTTCGTTTTATGTGAAAATCACTCTGTGAACTACATCTCCGGGGAAGAGAAACGAGATCCGCTGCTCGTGTGTGTGCAGTCTGGTACAAAACACTCAGGTATGCCTCAGTAAAGTTAGGGGTTTGTAGTCTTTGTAATTACGTATTTTCACAGTCTTATACCTCAACGGTTTGACGTCAAACTGCGACTTTCTTTACTTTAAAATGTATCTTTTAAATTGACAAACATCATATGTGTATTTCAGGGCACAATTCAAACCAGATCAAAATATTTGTTGTCTCTCGCCATTGACTACCATTCAATATTTTTCCGAAATAAGGTCCCATGGTGGTCGACCGGAAGGGGAGGGACTTAGGCTCTCAATAGCAGAACTGTACAATGAGAGACATATCAGAGTTCAAACTCGCTGGCTCATCTGTGACCAGGACAGCGAGTCTTTGTGGTGTATCGAGAGCTATGGATCAGGGTAATGTCGGGATACCACCATCCAACAGGAGTAACTGTCCCTGCAAGAGGAATCTGTCTGAAAGGGATGTCCGGAGACTAACCCGGATTGTATCCAAAAAACATCCATAAGACCACAGCTGCAGAAACGCGCACCTCAACTCTCCTGTTTCCACCAAACCTGTTCATCAGGAGCTGCACAGAGGGAATATTCACGGCCGGCTGATGTAGCCAATCCTTTGGTCACTCGTGCCAATGCCAAATGAGGTTTTCATTGGTGACAACAGTGCAGATCTTGGGATGTGGTCAATGTGAAACATATAATGTTCTCTAAAGAGTCCATTCCAACTTTACTGTCTTTCCTTAAACCCCTTAAAGGAGTAGTTCGCTTTTAAAAAAAACTTTTGCTGATAATTTACTCACCCCCATGTCATCCAAGATGTCCATGTCTTTCTTTCTTCAGTCGAAAAGAAATTAAGGTTTTCGATGAAAACATTCCAGGATTTTTCTCCATATAATGGACTTCAATGGGAACCAAACGGTTCAAGGTCCAAATGACAGTTTCAGTGCAAACTGCAAATTGTTCAAAGGGGTTTAAACGATTCCAGACGATGAATAAGGGTCTTATCTAGCGAAACGATCGCTCATTAAAAAAAATGAAGTTTAAATTTTATAAGCACAAATGCTCGCCTTGCTCTGTTCTGTGTGACTCTCCTGTTCGAATTTGTTCATCAAAATGAACAAATCTTTTTCCGAGTCAACTCGTTCATTTCGTTCGTTGAATGAACCAAATTACTCGAAAAAAGATTCGTTCATTTTGATGAAGGGGTTCGAACAGGAGAGTCACACAGAACAGAGCAAGGCGAGCATTTGAGCTTATAAAACTTAAACTTTTTTTTTTTACGAGTGATGGTTTCGCTTGATAAGACCCTTATTCGTCATCTGGAATCGTTTAAAGCCCTTTGAACAGTTTGCAGTTTGCACTGAAACTGTCTTTTGGACCTTGAACCGTTTGGGTGTGTGTATGATGTGTATGATCATGCACACATCATACTGTGTATGATGTGTGCATGACTGCCGAGGTAATGGGGGACCATGTGCATCTGATGGTTCAAACATCCTCTGAAGAAGGTGCCATGTATGTATGTCCAATACATACAGCAAGACTTGTGACAGAATGGTTTGATGGACATGAAAGTGAAGTTGAACATCTCC